TAGGACTGGGAATCAATGTTCTTCCCAGAATCAGAGTTGGAAAGTGAATACTCTTAATCAGAGGTGGTGGGAAAACAAAAAGGCAGATGGAGGGCTGAGCTTCTCAGATAACTTGTTTACATTTCAGATGCCATCATCTGATCTAGTCCCTGTTTGGGCTGGCTTAAAAACTAACGTCAAATGAGCAACTCCAGAACTGATGATGCTGTATGTTACTCTGGAAAGGAGTTATAACATTATCCAGTGATCAGTATTAAAATAGAGTTAGTATGACTTTATATATATTTTCCTGCTAAGCAATCAAAACATAACAAATGAATGAAGCTCAGCAGTAATCCAAGTACTGCAAGTGTGTGTCCTCAAACCAGTTTTGCAAATTGGGACAGAGAGCTATAATTGACCTTAGTGAAGTGGGTTTTATTTTCACCAGTTCATGATCAAAGTAGTTATGTTACACTGAATAACTCTTCTAGTTCACGACACCTGAAAAAAAGTCAGGAGAACCAGTCTGGAATGCACGTCCCACTATCTGCAGCCATCCTGCAGCACAGCTTGAGTAAAGTCCATCCCCCTATCCCTGCACTGAATCCACTCTAATGATCAAAAAGTGCTTCTGGACTGAGAAGTACATCACATTGATAACAGGCTTGTTTGTAAACTCGAGCTGTGCCTCAGCACGGTCTGGAATAGCTGTAACTCTGCCTGGGTTTAGGGTCCGTTTATGTATCTCTTTTTCACTTAAAATATTCCCTGACTGTTCCAAAGCACATTAAGCTGGAAGTTATCAGATGTCACACAAAAGAAGTAAAACAAGTACATCTGAACTGGCCAACACAAGCTTTTAACAAACAGAATGGTATATAAAAATAAAATTAAAAAAAAAAACCAAACAAACATTTCTGTGGATAGTTTCTAGAGTTGCTTTGGATTTCATCATCTCTATTTCCTCCTCTGGTTCAATTATTTTTAACTGAAAAAAAATGTTTGGTTTCTTTGGCTTAAGCTACTGCCTTTCTGCAGCTAAAAAAAAAGAAAAGGAGTCTTAAATACATTCAAGTGTTTTAGGTAAAAGTAAGGCCTTTCAGTGCTCTCTGAACCCTGAGCAGAGCAGCAAATCAGGGCTGCGGTGCCACCTTGGCATACAGCTGTCCCTCCAGCCTCTTCATCCGCACAGGCATACCCAAAACCTGCAGAGGGGAAGGCTGAGTCAGCAAGCAAAGAGGGGTCCCTTTCTCCCTCTCCCTCTAGAATAGTTGCCAGAGTGTTTCTCAGCATCCCATCAGGGTGGGGACTGCGTGTTAACATCAGTGTCCCAGGACCACCACCTGCTCCTCTTTCCTCCTGCTCTGCCACAATGATGTGACAGCCCAGGAGCCCATAAGCCAAACTAGGAATAACTCATTTTAAATAAGGATACGTTCGACTGCTTTTAAAATGGGACATACTGCTAGGAAATCAGAGGTAAGGAACACGTGCTGCTTTGCAAACAGATCCAAGGCTGGGGTCCTACTTGAAGACATAGTTATGGATGATGTCAGTATCATTTATGAATCCAAGTATATATTATTTTAATACAGATTTCCTGGTATCCATTATAGTTACAGATGTTACAAGCTTCCATTATTAATTTTTTTATGTGCTCATAACTTTCCCAAACCCAGATCACTTCTGTTCAAAGGTAATTTTGTTGTCCTTTACGAAGTGTTTCAGGGGAAGGTTTTGACAAAACCTTCTTACCTGTTGTTGAGGTTAAAAGATGGGAAAGCATGCCATTGTCTGTCAATAAAACTCTAATTATACTCTTTTGAGCAAAACATACAGAAAAAACAACCCACCCAACAGTTACCACTCAACAGTGACACCCCACCTCAGCACGGACCCCATCTTTACAAGGTGTAGAGTTTATGCCTGGGTTTTGTGAGTAAAGCTTTTTTCAAACAATTTAAATAATTTTTAATGTACTGGAAAGCATGTCCTAGTGTGTGTGTGCCACTGCCCTCTGGTGCACAGCAGCAGGAGAGCTGGGCTGCTCCGTAGGGACTGAGGTGTGGGCACCCACCCGCCCATATTCCTACTTAGTGCAAGTGCTCGGGCCCCTACTGACTTCGTGGGGGAGCTAGAGCTGTGAAAGTAGTTAAATCTTCACCCCCGTGGGAGTTAGGAAACATTATACCCGTAAAGATCTGCCCCTTTCTGTCTTGTGTTAGTAGAAAATGCCACATGGAAAGAGTGTGCAAGTATGGGGCTCACCCCCTCGTGTTGTGGTTTCATGAGTTGCACGTCTCAAAATGTCTGGGAGATTCACAAGTGGTGTCTTGATCCTAATGAGCATTGCTAAAGCATGACCTAAAGCATCTCTGCCCCTTTTGTTCTCTCCACTTTTGTGCTTCTGGCATGTAACAGACTGACACCCTTAGGGGTGAAAGGGTTTTGCCTAATCCAGTGTTTTGGGATAAAATAAAAGGTTTTTAGCAGGGTAAATGCATTTGGCTAAATACAGGGATAATGCAACCTATAGCTGTAACTGTCCACTATGGACATCAGTGATAGGAAACCTGTGAAAATCTCAAAAAATGTTTAGGATCAGCTATGCTGCCCCAACCCCCTGTAAGGAGGATAGTTCTGCTTGCTATACAGAGCAGGGTGCTTACCTCATCTAAGGCTCCTCCCTGTCACCTAGAGCTGCTATGCTCCTTACGGATTTATTCAGGCAATTAAGATAACACAGCCACGTATCTCAGTCTATGGATTTGCACCTTTTCATGCTATTTTCCCATTAAAGCCAGATTTCAGGTATTTCTGTCTCTCAGCATAATACTAGTGACCATCAAATCTCAACAGTCACTTCTTTTTCAGAATTTGCTCCCACTGATATTGGTGTGAATTTTGCCACTTGGAACACGCCAATATCAAGTGCTTTTGAATTATAGTTGGGTGACCTTATCTGTATTTTACAAATAAATAATTTTTCTCTCTAAAAATGCGGCCTTTTCAATTGTGCCTCAAGTTCCAAGAGTTAGTCTCATGGTTTTGAACACTTAAATTTGATAACACCGTGGAAAAAGTTCCATAGCCCTGATTTCTGCTGAAGAGGGGTAATTAGGAGGAAATAACTGCCTTGGTTTGTTTCTATCTCTGGCTTCTTTAAGCTTGTCTATTTAAGTCTGTTTAAACAGTGCATGAACCACCTCATATGGATAAGTCTAATAAAAAAACCTCTCAAGTATAAATATGAAGTTTCACATAATTTATAAAGAAATGATTTATTGCTAGGGGATAATTTTAAGCTTTTATCTTAACTCGTACACGGGGAGGTAGGCTAAACCCCAAACCTTAAGTTGTGATTCTTTTCTGGTTATTAAGAAAAAAAAAATAATAATTGTAGGGGCTGACAAAGATTTCTCTGATATTAAGGACGTGCCATTTGCAAGTAAAATGTCATCTCCATTTTAGTCACTGGCCACAGGAGCTCAGCTGGGGCCCTGAATGCCAAGCTGAGACCTTTTTTTCACCATAATAAAGGTCTTGTAGGGTAAACTCCAATCCCTTTGATAGGTTTACACGAATGCAAAGATTTGTTCTTTGCAATGCTGTTGATGATATACAACAAAGGCAGTTCTTTAGTTGTGCTCACCCTGCACTGTCTTCTGTGTGTTTGCATGTGTGAGTGTATTTATATGTGTATGTGCATGAATATACACAGATAAATGAAATGTGAGGATATATGTAGTACAGACACCTGAGTTTCACACCTATTTGTGCATGTATCCAATATTAATCTGGGGTTGACATAGAAAGAGCCAGAAAAAGCCCCTGAAAGCTTATTTAAAAAACCATCCCTGGGGCTCTGGTATCTCACCCAGTCAGATGCAATAATTTTACCGAAGAATAATTATAAAATGAAAAACTATGCCAATTCTTAAATACAATCCCTGCTTGTTTAGCTTTTATTTGCTTCACTTTGAAATAATACACTGTGATCTTTCTGCTTCTTAAAAACTTTATCTCTAAACTGTGGCACCCAAGTAGGTGGCCTAGCTAATACTTCCTTTTCCCCAGCCAGATACACTAGGAAGAGGCAGCAGATTGTGCTTTCAGGAGACTCAAGAAATTTGCTGGATAGCTTTCCTTGGGTTATCATCACATGTCAAAGATGATGTTCATATAGACACTAGATTTCCTAAAAATCCAGCATCCTTGGAAAGAAAATTTTTTCTTTAGTTTACTTACTTTGCATGAATAAAAAAGTCCACGGGGAAGGAATCAGTACTTTAAGAAAATACTTCTGCTTGCAATTACCACGTTCCTGCTTCCTCTCTACCCTTCCAAAATTCACCCTAAATAAGAGGTTGTGGTAATTAATTGCCAGCCAAGTGTCTCAATTATTGTTCTGCAAGTGCAGTATCCTCTGGGTGAAGTGATACAGCTAAGTGATATTATGTCCAGTTCTGTGTTTGAATACCAGCAGAGACAGCCACATGCACAGACACACACACATGTGCCAAGAGAGTGTGTTGTGTTCATTTTATTTTTTTTTTTTAAGATGTGACACTTCAATTTTTCTTTCCTTCCTGGAGAGTTCGAAGTCCTTTTTAAAGGACTTGATTTCTGTGCAATAGAGCTCATGGGCAAACACTAAATGCAAAATGAGGAATGCAGTCATGGTTCTAAATACATTTCACATTCTTCAAACTGATGCCAGTTGTACTCACTGACAGTAATCCTGTCTAATCCCTTCCACATGTATTATCTTTGTACACCTGCTTTCATTGTCTCACTTATCAGTTCTTAACACTTAGAACCACAACACACAAGAAGGCAAAGCAGCAGAACAAAGTATATATGCACACACATTGTGCCGTGCTACAGCTTTGCATTGTAGACATGAAACATATTTGTAGATTTTGGTGCTTAGAGTCAACATCTTCCATTAAGACATTTTTCCTACTTCCTCCCCCCCCCACCAACTGATGTATGTCTGTGTTTGTCTTTCTTGGCAGGTTAACTGAAGCACATCGAACAGCTGTAAAAGTCATCAGGAGAATGCAGTATTTTGTAGCCAGAAGAAAATTTCAGGTAAGCAGCATGATTAATCATAAGTGCAATTGCTGTAAGCTTAAGTATATGACGTTGAAAGTGCTCTCAGAGTGCTCTCAAAGTCTTTGGGCATGCAGTACTAATAAGTCAAAGGCATTCTTTAGGTTCTTGGCCTCATACTTACCTTATGTGGATTTTTTCATGGTGTGGGCAAAACTGTCAACTATCCATGGGTATAGTATGATACAAAACCCTGCGTGGTTATTTTTCACTTCTCTTTTCTTGCTGCATTTCTTTCTTGGGGTTCTATTCGTTTTATTACACTGACCAATACTTACCCTTCTACTGGAAGAACTGAGGAAAACACTGCTGGAGTGTCTGCAAGAGCACTGTTACTGTCCACACCCATCACAATGACTGGTTAGAGGATGCTCAGTTGTGTGCTGTGGATGGCTGACAGATCAATAGGCCTCACTGATGAGTACTGTGCTGTGTAAAGTTGCTTTCACATTTGTGACCCACATTTCCAAATTGGTTTCCCAGAAAAGGACATCACAGGCCATATTTTGTAAAACTGTGGAACACTGGCCCTCTGGAAGTTTGCCATCTTTATGGAGGGTTAAGTTAATTCTCTCATTCAGGTTACAAAGTTCTCAGACTAAATGTACTGCATTGGAAATAATGTTATATTTTGCCTGTTTACTGAGGCTTATTATGATAAAACTTTTTTGGACTGGGATTCTGATGTCATAGTTCTCATCACCCGTGTGCTGGAAATGCCATGGAAATTAAAAATTAACTTCTGGACTGATTTTCAAAGCCCCTGTTGTTTCCATTTAAGATTCTTGCTTTTTTTTGTCTGAGAGGATCCACTGCAAGTTAATGAACTTCCATAATCCTTTTGAAGAGGTTTTAAAAACATAAATCAAGAACCTACCTTTCAGGGAAGTTTGATTAGAGCTGAGCACTTAATTGCAAGGGATAGAAGTCTGAGATAAGCTCACAGCACTCAGAAGACTCTGAATTATGGCAGACAGAATAGCATATACATTTCCCAAGCTCATGCAGACATGTATCTTCAGATGACCCTACCTTTTGAAAGAAGGTTAGGGGAAGTCAGTTTATTTAACTCAGAAAAAACAGGAGAATAGGATTATATTGTAAATATACCAGAGAGATAAACATTATGGGAAATTAAAAAAAAAAAAAAATTAAAGACACCATTTCTCGAAAATTAAATCAGTTTATAAACAAGTTAGGTTAAAAATTAGTATATTTCAAACCACCAGAGACCTAATGTTCTGGAGCTGTCAGCCAACAGTGGTCCTGCCAGACTTCACAAACTGAACTTGATCAGTCTACAGAGACAATTCTGTGAGTTGGTGTTAGTGACAGGGAAAAAGAAGACGAAGGAATGATCTTCTGTTTCCTTCTTAGGGCCATGAAAAACAGTTTATAGGACTCCCTATGCTGATTAGATTTTGGAAGTTCAAAGCTGGGTAATATTATTTAGAGTTTTGCATTAGGAGCTCTAAGCACACTGAATGTGGACTACTGAGCTCAAATGGCCAGGATTTGGGATTATGGGCAGAATGAAAGTTAAAGGAGTTGCTCAAGTTCTGCATTTACCACACTTCCCTGGAAGGCAGTTGCCTCCTGGCTTAAGTTGTATTGTACAAGCATTTTCTAATAAAACCATAACAAGAGATTGGGCCAAAGTTTGGCAGGACATTAGATGCTCAGATCTAAAGAGGAGATAAAAATGGTGAAAGCTGGAAGGACACTTTTACAAAGCTTTAGAGAGGACTCAGACAGATTGCAGTGTACAATTGCACTGTACAATTTTGCAACTGTGCAATTCAGAGCTGATGATTTGGTAAAAGGGATAACAGATAGAGGACTTCTTTTGGGGGAGAAATTTCATTGCAAATGAGTAGGATTAATTATGCACATAGTAGCCCATGGGGGAGAGGGGAGGGGAAAAATCCCCAGCACATCCAGGCTCTGCGCCACGCATCGTGTTTAAATAGAGAGTATCCAAAGGAAAGGAGGGAGAATTTAGCCAAAATGCTCTCAAAGCACCTCCACTAGTCAATCTAAAGAGTGATACTGGCACTGTTTCTCGGGGTGAAGACAATAGGCTGCTTTTCTGGCCAGAAATAGTGATGTGTCAGCGTCTGCAAAATGTGAAGCTGGGGAAGCGGGGAAAAAAAAAAAAAAAAGGGCGATAAACTGAAAGCTGAAACCTCCCTCCCCCACAAAGTATCTCCTCTCACAAACACAGACAAATGTACACACACACACTACCAGAGCCACGAGCTCTTCTGAAAGCAATAATGCAGGTAAGTGCTGAGTGCAAGGAAGGCATTTTGTCACGAAGGGCCTTTCCTTCTTCATTCATTTCACGGGATTTGTTTCCATTCCAGTTCCATGCTTTCATTTGAAATTTCTAGGATCCTGTGGCTGCCTTCCAAGCATGACTCCAGCACATACTGTAGGTGTTCAATGCATGTGTGCAGTGGTGCATGCTAATGGCTCTGGCTGAAGCTGTGACAGAGTGGAAACAGACAACAAGATGACTAATGAGCTGTTTTCAGTAATTTCCAATTACTAGATTTGCAGTTTACCTTTGGTTTGGTTTTTTTTTCTTCTTTTCTTGAGTCAGAGCCAAAAGGAAGACATCTTGCCCCACATTTCCCATAGGGGTTGGTATGGCTCTCAAAATGCTGAAATTTTCAAAAAGACACAATTCGTGTTTATTCCACCACACACACATTGATTTTACTTGCTAAAATTTTAGCGTGCTGCACTTTTTATAATCACATCACTTCATGCAAATTCTCTAGACTTATTTCAAAATTCTGCCACAGTAGTTGCAGCGAGAAACCAAAGCTTGGCAGAAGCATCTGGATTCTCATTAGAATGGGAATAAAGCTGGGCAGATGGCAGTTTTTTCACTCTCTCACATTTTTTATCTGTCCTTTTTTATTTGAATTGCACTTTTTTTTTCTGACCTCGTAGGTATCATGAAAGACAAAGAAGCCCAAACAAAATCCACATGCAGCAGTCTTCTGACTTATGCAAAGCATCTGTCCTCCCAGTTCCTTAAACAGCAATATTTCTGTCACCAGACATCTTTAGTCTCTAGAGACATTTGATTCTGGGTCCAAGTGTTATGAATTGGGCCTGTTCCTGTGGTTCAGTCCTCTGACATTATGATTATCATATGGTTTTGGAATGAGCCAAGAGATACTGCACATGATAGTCTTAGATAAATTATATATCTTGGGTTTGTGTTTTTCAAATACACTGTGAAGGTCTAATATTTTGCTCAGTATGAAGTAACATGAAAACATGACTCTAACTGACAGTAATGGGAATCATTTGGCTCCATCTCCACAGTAAATATGCACTCCTACAAACAGCTACATATTTTTTATTCATTGCAACAACTGTTGCAAAATGGCAAGCAAATAACCTCTGGAAGATTAAAAAAAAAATAGAATGAAGGCCCATCTGAAATAAAAATCAAGTTTGAACAATACTTACCTTTCAATCTCTTGACTCTTTCCACAGCAAGCTCGGAAACCGTACGACGTACGCGACGTGATCGAACAGTACTCACAAGGACACCTCAATATGATGGTTCGGATAAAAGAACTTCAAAGAAGGTAGTCCCTGTCTACCTCATGAAATATTTGATTTCTCTAGTGCCAGCTGGCTTTAGGAGAGATGTGTACTTAATGAACAGTAATTGTCTGAAATTGCAAGCGCAACAGGGAGCACAATATCTGGAGGATTTAGCTTGGAGTCATTTTTAACCCTTTTTATGACCAGGCTTACAATTGTCCTTTATTCTCCTCTCCTCTGTCTCCAAGTGGAATTAAAAGAGACGAAGGTGCATGCTGTGAAGTTTATAGTATGAAGCAAGTTTTTCTGTCCACTCCTTAGAAAAGGAAAACTCTTCAAATAATGATTTGTCTTTCTGTTCCCACTCTCTGGTTCTCCACAACTGAGAGAAATCTGGTTCACTTGTGTTTCCCTCTCTATCTGGAACTTTTCCCTTCCTACATTCCTCTGTGTAAATGCTTTCTCTGAGTTTCGGATTTGCAGCTGAAATATTTTGCCACAAAACTACTCCCTTCTGTTTCAGCACAAAGTGCTTTTCTCTTTACAAATTAACGCTGTGGATTGGGACACCAGAATGAACTTCTCTGACCCTTAAATTAAATGAAACGAAAAAAAAATCCTGTTGAATGGAATCTACTGTGTCAACATATATAGATATTAAATCTGCCTGTATGAGATTCAAGGAATGGTTGCAAATGTTATTAAGAAGCTGTTCTGTTTGTATAGTCTTTGTTATTAGATTATATAAGACACAGGAGAACTATGTTTTAGTTACAACTTGAAAGTCTAAGAAATATTAGTACTCAAGAAAATAACAATAATAATATGGTTTGATTTTGGAGAAAAACCTCTAAAGAACTAAACTGCTGACTGTATATACAGAAAGTCATGCTAGTCTCATGTTTTTACTTGTTTTGGTTTAGGTTTGAAGCTACTGTAAATTCTCATGTAAATTATGCTCCCATGCTTTTTCTAGGAACAGAGTTTAAGTTGCTTGGTAATTGCACTGCTGGTAATTCTCTGTTTGCTTTTCAGGTTGGACCAATCCTTGGGAAAGCCAGGTCTTTTTCTCCCAGGTATAGTGACTGCATTTTATGTAAAATCATTAGCTTCATAACTTTGTGAAAATACCATTGGCTACAGATTTATAATCCAGCTAATTATGCATTAATGTAATTCTGCTAATAAGCTTTGGAATGCCTATGTAAAGATAAGTATGTTGCATTTAGGTGGTAGTGGAGCAAAGGGAAAGTAAGAATAAATGTTAGAATGTGTATCAGTGCACGATGAGTTGGAAATATATCACAGGAAATTCTTCCACAAAAATATTCTTTCTAAATCTTTCATGCTGGGATTAGAATATATATTGATTCCACTTAAAAAGGTTTTTTTCCTTTTTGAATGATCTATGGATTTCAGTTGTGGAAAACTCAAAGGGAGATCATGAGTCTCACTCAGGAAGAACTGGGGTAAATTTGAAAGCTAGAGTGATAGAAGTGGTATGAAATTCATCATTAAAAATGCAAGGTCAGGCACAGGGAAACCAATTAAAAAAAATCTCATACATGGTCATGTTGGTGAACAGTTTGGCATGTCTAAGAAAAAGAAAGGCCTGGTTTGCTAATTAATTGTAAGCAAATGCAGCTGAATGTAATAGCTGTGCACAGCAGTGATATTCTGGGAAAATCTTGTGGTGGGAATCGTGGAGATCAGAAACCTGAGTGCTTGATGGGGAAAACTGAAAGAAGTGTTTATTTTTTTTCCAAAAGAAGTTGACTTCAAATTTCAGGGGCCCTGTCTCCTTCTCTGTCCCTACAAGCTCAAAAGTGGCTTAGGAACTGAAGCCCCATATCCCCAAGTGACTTTCAGCACTCACAGCCATAAGTGTAATTGAGGGTGGCAAAGTTATTTCAGAGTCTTTAAAAAATTACTTATTATCAGTGGTTAATATTACCAGAACAAGGAATATCTCTCAAAAGACCTTTTCAACATCTGATTGCTGCAGAAGACTCAGTAGTATGATCTTCTTTCCCTGTAGCTGTGCTGGTTTTGGACCACAGGAAAATAATCTGTCAGCTTGAATACTTCTATAAATATTTATACTTGGGAATTCATTCCACAATTTGCAAGCTAAACTTATGGAAAAACTTCCCTTACCTCCAAGAATGTATTATTTGATTTCAAAGGTAGCATTACCAAATTAGAACTGCAATTTGTGCTCAAAAAGACTAATTTTTTATGAAACAGTGTCTTGTTTCAGAGGAGAGGAATAATTAGAAGTGTTGGCTGCAAAGAAGCTAATTGTGAAATAATGTTCTGAGAGATTTAAGAAGCTGAAGATGTTCAGGAAATTTACTGTCACCAAATCTTGAGTCAAAATGGTCGTGGTAACCACCAGGAGGGCCTTAGGTAGGTCTGTGGATTTAAACAAGTGTTCAAGTGTTGAAAAGAGTCTAAAGTACCGAGGAAGAGCCATGGGGTTGTGTCCATGGATTGATTCATGGGTGATCCACCTGGAGGCCTGAAGTTACACAGCAGCTTCCTGCAGAGACAGCCTGTAAATACAGCCCCAGAGGATTAAAGTCAAAATCTGTCACACATTTTTTATGGTTCATTATCATTTTTTATTGAAAACTCTCCCTTTGATTTACTGTGTGAAAAATGTTGAGCTAGGCTCACCTTCAGAATTCATGATGGGGAGTATCACAAGACTTCCAAGTTATTTGGGAAAGCCATAATCTGTGCTCTGGAGGAGATTATGGCATCCGTGTTCATACAACTGCTTTCCCTTGTTAAGTCTCTTCTTGCAGCATTGCTGTTGAATAGCTCCTTTGAGACAGCTCTCTTAGATGCACGAGCATGGTGGCCCTGCTAAGAATGATGTCTGCCTCCACAGCATGCCTTAAATGGGCTGAATAAATACTGGCTGGGAAAGGTAAAATGGTTGTAAGGGATGCAAAAGCTGTTAAGCTCAGTTATGGGTTTGCAAGACCAAAACCAAAAGTTAATTGATACAGTAGTTATTTTATCTAGAGCCTCCACAAATCCAAAAATAAGATAAGTGGTTCCAGATAAATGGTCTGCAGAACTAAATCTGGAGTTAGTTTACAATTACTCCCAGCATTATCCAACCTGCCCTTACTGCCAGTATTATCCAAGGGATGAACAGTGATGAGTGGTTACAGTATTTGTCTGTTTTGGGTGAAAACAGACTCTTGCATTGCCCTTCTCCTCTGGCAAAGGAGTTCTTCCTTGAGTTTTCCCCAGAATTCATGGCTAATTCTACACTGAAAATGTATTTTCAATATGATACTTACACTTTTCCAGGCATTGCTAAAAACCTCATTTGTAACAATTATGGGTGTTTCCGCCAGACTGTGTTATTTTTGTATTGATGGCAAGCAAAAGAGAAATGACAATGCAAACAAAATTAAACTGCCAAGGAGAAAAACATGAGAAGAATTTTCCTTTTGAGCTCTTTTTTCCCCCCCTGTTTTATTATACTCCCATTCAAAGAATCTTAAGGTCTGATTCTAAGCCCCTTGAAGTAAATGGGAGTCATTCCAGTGACCTCAGTGGGTTTTGGATCAGGCTGTTGTTGAAACCCTGTTGTCAACTTTGATAATATAAAGTAATTGCAGTGTGTCTATAGTATTATTACCTTTCAAAAGTGAATGATGTCATAAAAGATCCAGAATCTGAATTCACTGGAAGCAATTATTGTTATTTTTCAAGTTCGTTTCTCAAAGATAAAAAGCACTAAAGGCTGTGTTAAAACAAGATAAGGATACAAGAACAGAATAAAAGCCATGCTGGGTCAGACCAGTCCTGACTCTGATGGAGCCAAAAGCAAGGTTCTTTGGGAAATGTGTAAAAAAAGGCTATGCATAAGCCTCTAAGCTTCCTGTAAGCTTTCAACCATTTGCAGATCAGAGACTTCCTGACATGGTTTCAGTGCATACAGTGGTACAAAATAGTGTGTTCTCAACACACTTTCCTAGAGACCCCTATAAATGTTTAACATCTGAGATATTTTGTAAAAACCACTGTCATGATTCAAGTTTTATATACACCTATGGTGAGAAATTCTACCTTTTTGCTTGTTTTGCTCCTGGTACCTACTAGTTTTCTTTGAAACTCCTACTATCGGGAGTGGATTTAAAAACATTAAGATAATGGAAAAATTTTCCAAAGATCTGAATCCCACTGTTATGAGTATACCCAGAAGACTGTGTCTTATTTTCATGGAAAGCCTGTCCCAGTGTTCCCAGGTGACACAATTTTGTAAGATGACTCACAGTCATGTAATAATATACACGTTAATAGTTCAAAAGTGTTGAGATAGAGGCAAAGCACATATTAATAAAATTATTGAATTAACAAAGTAGACACTTATATTATGATACAAATAAAAAGAGTATAATACTTGACCTTCACTACACATGATGGAGTTAACTGCTTCTGATTGCAATTTTTGAGACTTACTATAGCTTTTCAGGGGCAAAGGTGAAGAATAATGCCAAGGTAAAACAAAAGGTCCAGTGTTTGGATTCAGAAAAGTACACAAAAAGCTGATATTTATCTGCAGTTCATCTGAACCTCTTGGGTCTGCATAACACGGGTGGGAATCCCTGGAGGAAAGGGCTTCCTTGTAAAATTTTGACAGTTCCATTGTTTGCTTTTTTTTCCATGAAATGCCACCTAAGCTTTCTGATAGTTTTTCCTTCCCATCTGATAATAAGAAATTGAGTCATAGTATCTTTTAAAACATAACAAATATGCTTGGTTTAATTTTTATCTTTTTGAGTCAATTAATATTTGAAAAAAGAGATACTCATATTTCTGCAAGAACTGATTTATTCCACTCCTCCTGGAGACAAAATCAGTGGGAACTTGGTCAAAACCAGAAACCACATAGGATATTTGCTGTAGCTGTCAGGTGTTCACAATCTTGTTTCTGAAAGTTCATTTAGTTGCTGGAGTTGATCTACCTTAATACAAAGAGCCAGTAGAAATATCACTTATATCCTGTTCTGAGGATTTGGAATTTGAAGCTAATTTACTGCACATTTAGGTCCTCTGAACAGTCTTGAACTGCATTCTTAATGAAGACTTAATAAAGAAACTTGCATTTCATTTTTAAATTGGTGTATTAATTGTTTTATACGTAGTGTAATGATAGTGTGTCTAAATCCTGCCATCAGCATCTTCAGGAGGAAGGGCAGAAGTGTGATATAGTACTTTAGCAAATGCAGTGAGCAAAGCTTGCCTCTAATAAGTTGGTTTTATTGTTCCTTGTGAGTCACTTGAGCAAATTGTGTCATCTCAGAGGCTGGAGCAGGTAGACAGACAGACAGACCTTTTTGTTAAGGGCTGTCTTATTTGTTGAGAGGTGATTGCATGTCTTTAACCAGGCAAAGTACTCACTGCAGCTACATTTTTGCTACTTGAAAAAGCTAGAAATTTCTACTCCCAGTGTATACTGTTTAACCTTCATCATGGAACAGTTAACTTTATGGCAAAGTTTCTGTGTTGCAGTAGTTTCTGTGTTCGGTAGTTTACTTTTTAGGCTGTCCAAAGGAAAACACAAGTGCCTGATCCAGGACTGTGTCTTACCTTTTTTTTAATTTCTCCTACTGATCAGTTCTAAAAGGCTGTGGCTGACAAGAAAAGAGACTCAAACCAAAAGTCATGATGCCTAAGGCAACTCTGTTATTTGCTCTTTTATGGATCTGTGGCTTAAAAGAACGATCCTGAGTTCTGTTTTTAGAAGCACTCTCAGTTTACAAACCTAAGAATCTGGAACTTGCCATAAGCTCATCACAGTTATCCCTATGTGGAGCTTTTGCAGAACTGGAACAAACACAGATCCAGAAAGCTGTATTTGCATTGTTAGCCAAAAGAAGTCATGGTGTCTCTTGGGCTGTTCTGCTTTCTAAGATAGAATTTACAAGGTTTTGACGTTTCTTTAGCAGTCTGGAATATCCTTGGTGTCACAGTGCTCATATTCCTCATTTTCTGCTTAAAAGAAATCAACTGTTTTCAAATAAATTGTAATATTTTTCAGATCGCTCCCTTCTATCAGTGTACACCATGAAAGTAAAAATTAAGGAAGGACTCTTATTCTGTCCAAGCAGTCATTTCCAGCTTTAATAATTTTCAGACCATCTGTCTGCAATTCATTCACTGTCCTAATGCTCCCTGTAATTATTTTTTCTAACCAAAGGAAAAAAAATTGTTTTATTTAAAGTTTAGTTAGTTAGTTAGTTAGTTAGTTATTGTATAGTCTGGTGAGATGGAGGACACTAATTGTGTGAAAAATTAAGAATATGATGCAATCACTCATTTTATTTGCTTTCTTCCTCCTACTCATATCATTATATGTTATTTATATCACATACTTCCATTTGGGGAAAGAGTCCCCACCTGCTGAACTGGCGTGGAGCATACCTAAAATTTTTAACTTTTTCTTCTTTTTTTTTCACAAGAGGCTTCTCTTGTTCTTCACTAGGAAAAGAGATGGGCCAGATTTATGAAAATATTAGAAAATGAATACAGGTTTGTGTTGTTTTGAAAGTAGTTTGTGTATTCAGGAAGGCAAACGCTTTCAGGGAAGCAATTTCTACATTAATAAAGATGAGAAATGGACTAGATGACCCAACAAGTATTCAGTCTCCTGAAGTATAAAGCCTAGTGCTTATATACCTGTGTTTTCTCTGATTCAAAACTAAGTCTATAAAATGATGGGTTAGTATCATACCAACCATGTTACACAAGATTGTTTGAAGATATTTCTTTTTTATTTCTGAGCTAAAACTTGTCCATGTATTCCAGTTGTAAATAATTGTGCTTCCTTCCATTAAGATCATGCAAATGTCCTCTTTGGTTTTGTGCCTTTCCCATATGTGTTACTGGATTGCTTAGCTGGTCTATCTGTTTTCTGAAGCCCAACAAGAAGAACAGAAAAAAGTCAATACTAAAAGGAAGTAAAGACTGTAGAAATTGGGACATTTCAGATTTATAGTTAGCCCTGCAATTTTTTCAACTGTGTAAAAGCAAATAATCTAATATGGGAAGTCTAAAATTATATATCTTGAAAATTATATATCTTGAAAAGACTCAAGAGAGAAAACACAAACATGAGATAGAAATCAAATGTACTGGAGCAACATTGTCTGAACTTCTGCTCACCCTTCCTACAACAACGTCGAGCACATTGTGCACACACCACACTTACTTTAAAGGATGGTCTTTATTAGAAGAAAATGCTTGTAAATTAGAGCTGAATGCTGTTTTATATGGAGGCTAATAAGAAATTGGGAAAGACCACAGCATTTTGTGACTTATCCAGTCTGCATGCCAATAAAGGGGTGGACGAGACACAGCTACGTGCATGTGTATCATTCTTTTCACTTCATCTGATGGGAGTGCCACATGCCACAAAACAGCTTCTAACTGCTTGTCTGCTTCCTATTTTCTGTTCCACACAACATTTGAGAATAACTAAATTAGGAAACATTATTAGCTTGGTTTGCTTGGTTTTGTGATGTCTTAGGGATTGTCCGATGGATGTAATTAGAGCTGGTGAGGAAATTATTAGTTTATTTTATTATTGTAAAAAAACCACCATGCTTTTTGAAATATTTCTTCATGTTTGGGGGACTTTTTGGGTTTAGACCCTAACAAAAACACTACCTACCCACTGCTGTTCAAATCACATCCCAATTTAGAAATCCTTGAAGGCATGTTTTTTTCTGATATGTACTTTGGAAGATTTGTCTACAGATTTACTAACTAGAAAGTAGACTGCAGAGTCAGTTATTTCATTTTAGGCAGAGATGAATACAGATAAACTTGAGCCTCAGCCACTTATATTTTAAGAGGTTTCTGAGGTTGTGAATGATGAATAGCATACATGTATAAGCCACCCTGTGTCATTTATTGTCTGTCCCCACACAGTGTCCTTGAAAAATCTTTGAATTTTCTCTCCTTATTGTGGTTGTTCCTGATGAAACACTTCTCTTTTCTAATCCTGAGCAGAGCTGCCGAGGATCCATGACCTTTTAAATATTTTAGGTGGTCTGCAGAGGAGAAGGAAAGCACAAAGAGTACTCTTGCCAGCATTGCTTTTTGCTAAAGGTTTCCCCTAAGGTTGGGGTGCATAGAGTACAATGACTCATAAAAATGAAGTAACTTATGAAACTATTGATTACTCCTAGCAGTTATTGGAAGTATAGTTTAGTAGAGAAAAATGTATCCAAATTCCACTGACATAGGCTAAGTTACTTTAGTATTGGGGCATGGGTCTTTTCTTGTGAATATTTTCTCCCAGCTCAGAATATATGTGGGTTTGTGTTTCATTCCTTGTGAAATAACACCCCCAAACTATGGCATTCCTTTGCAATAGGCCATGAGAACAGAAAGGATAGACCCCACTTTACACAGTTTTCAATCTTGGCTCCCAATCCCACCATTTGCAGCACGGGACTGAAACAAAATGCACAACTTGGCTTTAATAACCAGGTCTCATAAAGAGCAGGAGGGAAAATGAGGTCGGGGATGCAAGGGCTTTTCCTGGTGTCACTCATTTGCAGAGAGGAGATAGATAGATAGATAGATAGATAGATAGATAGATAGATAGATAGATAGATAGATAGACAGATAGAACCCCTGGATAGTGCTGTCTTCTACAGCTGCAACCTCAGTAGAAAACTATTCTGGTTTCTTTATGTACAGCGAGTGTACCTCGCTCATGTCAATGATATCCAAAACAGAAGGTGTGCCCAGTACTAGGCCTATTCCATCTAACTACATGCAATTAGACACCATCTCTAATCATTCATGATCACAGACTACCTCTACCAATGTCCAAGTTGCCCTTTAGACTAACCTAATCTTGCCAGTTAGACAAACTAACTCCCTTCTCTCCGGCCACTGTCTTTCACTTCCATTCGCCATCAAAAATTCTTTCTTGTTGTGTTCATGTTTTTTATGCTACCCCACTATTAACCAGCTTTTTTTTTTTGCTTTAAATATCATAGATGTAATTCTTAGTCTGAATTTATTCTCCACCTAATGGATGTCCCATTTTTATTCTTCTTTATTTAGAAAAAGGGGTAGACAAAGGATACTATAGCATAGGAGCCAGACTGATCCGGCTAGAGGATAAGGTAAGTGCATGAAAGCTTGCTTTTTTTTTTCCTGAGTCATGATATCTGATCTACAGACGTGCAAGATAGTATCTTGGCATGATTTACTTTAGAATTACAGGGCACCATAATAAAGAATAATATAATTTTTGTAAGGGAGTCGATGAAGTATCATGTGCATGTTGTTCAGCATTAACCATTTACCTGCCATGCAGCTTTGGTTCTTGAGCATAAAAGGAACTGTTTTCATATTGAAGCCAAATCACACATTTTGTATATAAGTACTGTGAACTAACAAGGTATTTGTCAGGCAGGTATTAGTGAGTTAAGCAGAAAGGCCAATATCAGGAGTCTTTGTGAATAGCAACAGTTGATATCTCAGTTAAGGATCTTGAGATTCTTTAATGTTTACTGCGTTTTTTCCCCTGTGCAATTATGTTTGCATCAATTCTGCCCCTCCCCTCACTGTCTTCTCTCCAAGAATATGTTCATATTTCTTATTAATTAGAGTTACTTAGAAGTATTCCTGGAGGCCAAAGCTCAGCGAGGCTCTATTGTTTTAGACCTAATATAAACTTCCTCAAGAGCTTTTTCTACTCAAGTGATAACAAAAAAAGAAGTTTGCTTAAAATTAAGGCTCTATTTCTCTAATAGTGTGTTGGTCAGCTCTCTTACCTACCCCTAGAACAGGGTGACTTCTGTGGACAGTAGCAACACAGTAGCTTTGGTGTGTGATATGATGTAGCAGCTGAGACAAAAGTCCATTTGAATTTACCCTCTCCACTGCTTGTTTGTATCCTGGTCTCACTCAAATTTCTCATGCAAATTTTCCTTTCACTTCTTTCTGGGGAAGTGAGGCGAGAAGGAAAGAGGAAGGAAAATTCTCATAATTCTTAAGAACTGTGCATCTTGCCAAAAAGCAGAAATTGAAATTAAACTAATACGGTCCCTTGCCTAATTTCTAATGATCTTTGCTAGGACAACATTGGAAATATGTAACACTGCATGTCAAAGAACAGATTTTCTTTGATTTTTTTGCCTTCTTGGACAGTGCCAGAGAATCAGCTTCACAGATAAGGACAAGTCATCTGAGTTAACTTTTGAAGTGGATTGGTCCCTTGTGTGGACACAGTCGTTTAAAGTGAAAATGGCTTTCATTCAGATTGCCTTAATTCACTTCAAAAGAGATAAATTGCTCTCTAGCCTCTGTATATTCTGTAAATTCACACCACTAGTTTGTTCAGATCTCTTGAATGTGCATATGTAGAGAAACGCACAACACAGATTTGAAAATTTAGCAATAAAAGTATCTGTGATATCAGTTAGAGTGCTTTGAGTGAGAAATACTGCTAGTATTGTAAATACCTCTGGAAGCAGTTTTTCATGGTCTCCTGACTGCTCCATATTTATGAAGAAGAGAGGTGAGAAAGTTTTTAGTGTGTCTGGAGCTGGTCCAGCTTTAGCACAATGTGCTGTGGATTTGGTAAATTTTATTTCAAAGCCTTACTTGGAGAGCTTCAGAGGGATCTTGGTATAAGAAGAGGAATGTTACAGGAGATACTGGTGTATGCCATAAGTGCTGCAGTGAGTGATCCCTGTTGCATAGACCTGCTCGTGTTCTGCTTTTACAGCTTAAACCTGCCAGAAAACTGAACTCTAGCTGAATCAAAGAGTTCTCATTTTCATCAATACTGCCTTGATGTAAATGTTTAGAGATGGTGAAGCCACATGGTTTCACCTTCTCATGTTAAATATCTATTGAAAGCTTGTGGTAACAAGTCTGTAGCGTGGATTCACAGCAATATTTTCAGAACAGCAGTCATGCAAATTAAAAAAAAAACCCAGTGGTTTAGCCACCTCAACTTCATTTAAACATGATCTAAATATAGTGCAAGCTCAAACCATTAGTGTGGGCAAGACCCTGCTGCTATTTTGTTTGAGGAGTTCAACTTAGTTCTTTAAGTATTGTATGGACACTGGTGAATTCTCTCTCTCTCTGCTTATTATTCTGCAAAAAATACATAGAAAGGAATAAAAATCTGTTGAGATGTTTTCACAAGATGACTCAATCATTGCAGCTTCCTTTTTGTTCTCAGACCAAACTACAAATGTAAAATAAAATGCCAGACTCCAAGGTAATCCAGGTTATTTGTTTTTTCAGTACACATTAACCTTCTTTCAGGGGTACAGGGCTTCATTCTCATAGTCCTGCCAGGAAAATAGACGTGGTGCAGAAAAAGTGCAGACATTTCTTGTGTTGGTTTGTTTGGGATTTTGGTGGCATAGGGTTTGGGTTGTTTTTTGTTGGGTTTTTTTCTGTATTTGCATCTTTTTGGCACATCAGGCTAAACTGTGTATGTTTACTTAATGAATACAAATTGAAGCTTCCTACCTGTCTCTATTCTAATGGGACAATAGAAACTACTGCGCCCTGCTGTCAAACTGCTTCCCCTAAACTATTTTCCCATGTCTCATGGGCTCTCCTGTTCTAATAGTTCACTGTGTAGTAGCTGCTATGTGCCCAAATGTGAAACAATATTGGAGCCAGGAAGGACAAGCTGAGTTTCAACCTCTGAGGAGAATAAATGAAGCGAGGGCATGTCTGACATCAGGCTCCAGCTGGTGGTGAAAAATGATCTCCCCCTTGGAACTAGAAAACCTTTGGGATCAGCCTCTTCCCCCTGGAGAAATTATTTTAACATTCAGTCACCCAGTATAGTCATGGCAGCCTCCCAACAGAGTGACACATCTGATAAAATGGTACATTTTTGGACAAAGGCCAGTTAGTGTAGACTGATAAAAATGCAGTGTGGATTTGAGCATTTCATCTGCTTTAATAAGCTGTATCAATAAGCAAATACTACACCTCTGGTCCAGGCTGATCCTTCCCACCAGCATTTTGCAGTTCATTTGTTCCAGTTGTTTCTCTGAAAGGGAGTCAGAATGTGCTATACCCATTCAGAGCTGTGCAAAAAGTGATAATTACTCGTTTTGTAAATTGAGGGAGAGAAAGTTGCACATTTCTGATGGTTAAGATGAACTTCATCCCCTCGAGAGGCTTGCTATTATTTCAGTTCAAATGTGGGGTTTGCTGTGCAGAAAGGCATAGGCACAGATCTCTGAAGTGGTTGCTTAGTGATAGGTGGAGGCTTTGAGGCCAAGATTCAAAGATAGCAGCCTTCCATTCGTGTGGCATGAGCAATATTGCCTGCAGCCTCTGTTTTGTGACCATCCAGCTCCTTATGTAACTTTGAGGGAACAGGGAAGAGGTAGAACAAGTCTGTGTAGGATGAAGCACCGTGCGGGTCCAGCATAAAGCAGAGTTGAAATCTACTTTGCCTTCAAGCATTGCAAAGCTGACTAGAAAGGGGTAAAATGCATGGTGACAGCTTTCAGGCAATATGTAAACCCCTTTTTGGCAACATCAGTAAGGCTTTACTCCTTTCAGTGACATAGAATGTTGCATAGTGTAAGTTTACCCGTAACACTTTTCAACCTGTTTTTCCACGAGTAGGGTATAAAAATCTTATTTTGTTGTGGTCAACATAACAACTTAGTGTGGTTCTTTTCACAAAAACACTGAAATGTTTAGAGAAAGAATGAGGCTTCTTTCCCAACATGTGATGTGTGCCACTTGGCCGACCCCTTCTTTAGTTTGATGGCAGGGTTTAATTTTATATTGTGGTATGTAGCCATTGACAGATTCTTTTGAAATGTATTAAGAGGGAGATTGGTTCCAAGACGATGTTCTAGAGCTGGCGTTAGTTTCTTTTCAAAATTGTAAACTAATGCTTCTTTATGATGAAATGAGTATTCTTTCTTTTCCTTTTCTTTTCAAAATTAGAAACAAAAATCATGGTGTGCTATGTCATACTGCACGGCAACCTATAAATAAAAACAGGAGAGAAAAGAATCTGCAAATGAAAGGTTAGAAAGGACAGCTGTGTTGTCTTTGAAAAATAAATCTATTAGGTATTTTTATAATTATATGGCAGTCTTCTTTATGTGGTATTTGCAGTTATGATTTACGTCCATATTACCATAACTATTTCCATACTTATAGACAACATGTGACAATGCTGTGAGCCAAAAGCAGCCATTTGGTAGCATTTAAAAAATGCAAAAACACTAAGAGAAAGCAGGGCAGTAAAGCAGAACCCTTCTGAGTTTTATCCATCTGAGTAATGCGAGCCAGAACAAAAGTGTCGTCCAACATAAACAAATGCAGAGGTTGGATTGTGGTGGTAAACTCTCTCTTTACCAATTTAAACACTCATTTTAGAGGTGGGAGCTAAAAAGATGGGCTCAGAGGAGAGTGGTGTTTCCCTACCATCTTGTTCCTCCTGGGTAACAATGGAGGGATGGATGGTAGCGAATCTCATTCCTGCTGTGATTACATCAGGAGTCATTAAACAGTAAATTATGTATCATGACAGTGCCTGCAAGCACCACCATAGTGAAGGCCTGGTCAGAATTTCCATTATAAATGCCCAGTTTTTGGGTGGGGTGATGGGCATCACTGAAATGCATTAAAAAACAACAAACAAACCATAAACAAAACAAAAACCCCAAACAAACAAAAGATGAATACTGGTGCATGATGAGACAGTTGTAAAATGAGCATGCTGCATCTATAAGATTTCACAAATATGTCTGAAATAAACACATTTGTTAACAAAAACATGTTTTGGCACTAAGGAGTTAGTGCATTGTTTGCCCCCAGATTTGTGAAGATTGAGTCATTCCATAATATAAAGTTTTTCAGAAGGCTTTCTGCAAATGGGTGTTGTGTGGATTTTCTTAGCTACTTAGGTCAAAGCCTTATCTCATTTACTCTGGAGCAGTACAGCATAAATACATTGATTCTGCACCATAAGCATGTCACTGGATTTTTATTTTCAATCTGTTATCGAATTAAAACAAAACAAAACAACCAAACAAAAAAAATAAAAGCCCTGATGCTTCAAGCCAAATTGTGTTTCCATTTATGCCAGTGCAGTTACCCAGGACTTATGTAGGTG